AATCCGTAATGCAATTAAATATGTTTGTTCTTCTCTTGCTCGTCTCTAAAAGTTTAAAAGTGTTGCTGAGTTAGAGAAATTGGACACTGCTAGCCTTGTTTGCCTTAATGTCAATTGGAATTTAACTTACTTGATGTTGGAATCTGCTTTGAAGTTTCAAAAGGCTTTTGAACGCCTAGAAGATGAAGATGAAGATTATATGGGGCAACTCATTGTTCCAATTTGATTGGAACAAGGCACGTGTCTTTCTCAAATTTTTGAAGGTATTCTATGAAATAAATTTAATGTTTTCAAGTCATTGAATGTTACTTCTAACACTTGTTTCCATCAAATTGCTTTTATTCATAAGTTGTTGGAAGAGAACATTGTGAATGTTAATCCTTTGTTTATAGAAATGTCCCTAAGTATGAGAAGCAAGTATGAAAAATATTGGGGTCAAACCGAGAATATAAATCCTTTGCTCATTGGGGCTGTGATTTTGGATCCTCGGTACAAGCTTGCTTATGTGAATCATATATTTGAGTAGGTTTTTCTTGATCTTGAAGTTTGCAAGGCCATGAAAATTAAGATCAAAGATGTCTTGTACCACATGTTTGATGAGTATTCTAAAGGACTAAAGACTAGTACCCTAAGCAATGCTTCTTCTTCTTCACTTCCAGGATCATTAACATGTTTAATGCTTTTAGGCTAAGGGGGTATAAATCTAGGTCGTAGGTGGTTAGCATCTCAAAAAGAAAAAACCTCATCAGACCACAATTAGAATTAGATAAATATCTTTCATCTAATTTTGCTGATGATACCCCTGTTGATGATGATTTTGATATATTAGCATAGTGGAGAGCCAATTCTAGTGAATACAAGGTTCTTTCTATGATGGCACATGATGTCTTGGCTGTTCCAGTATCTACAGTGGCCTCTAAATCGGCCTTCAGCATAAGAGGACGTGTAGTGGACTCTTATAGGAGTTCACTATCACCAAAGATGATTAAAGCACTTATCTGTGCTCAAAATTGGCTGCTTCCTGGGTAATCCATTTTTGAATTTGCATCCATGCTTCAAGAATTTGATAATTTTCAGGAGACCAAGGGTGTGGTGAAGACTAGTATGGTTGCAATGATGATATTAACTATTTATATTTTGTATGAATTATTATATGTTTCAGTTGTATTTTTTTGGTACATTGTATTTGTTTTTTTATTTGTGATGTAATGTCATTGACTATTTATATTTTATATATTTTTTTAGATCTTTCTAGTGTTACTGATGTTGGAGAGAATGGTTGTGTGAGCGTCATTTGATGTTGAATGGCACTTATGTTTGTTAACTTTCAAACTTTCGGATATTTTGGTTATATTTTGGGCATATCTCACTAACTTTTTGTTATGTGAAGAAGCATGATGATAGTTTGATAGACTAATACTTATTTTTTGGCTAGCTAGCTATATCATGTGGTTGGCTAGAATATGTGGATAGTCATTTTTTTGGATAGACTATAGAGCTTGACAATGAAATGTTGAATTGTTGACCAAGGCATTGTTTGGAAACATCACGTTTCACATCCCAAAAGTAGTTTTTTGATTTTTGAAATGTGGAATGTTGTTTGGGATTATTTTTGCACTGAAATGTGCTTTGAAAAAGGGCTTTCAGAATGGCTTGAAACTAAAAAAATCAAAAGCTCACATTTATAGCTTTTCAAACGTGAATGTGAGTATGTGAGCTTAATAAGTGGTACCTAATATTACAATTGACCATGATACCCTCATTGTTTTTTCCTTCTTCTCGTGCAACTGGCTCTAACTTGAATAATAGCTCAAACATTTTGCTCCATACTTATCATAATTATGCTTTTAGTATATAAATTTCAACTTAATTTCCATTTGTTTAGTGGCCACGAACAGCAGCAGAAATTCAAGAGAAGAATTGCAATTTTAACTATATCACATCTTATACTCGGACATTTTTTTTCAGGGAGAAGAAATCATGGTTTCTCATCTCAATGGCAACAACAAGATAGAGAAGAAATCTCATGCTAAGACACAAATAGAGAAGCGAGAAGACATATCAGAACTTAACAACCATAAAGAAAAATAAACTCACAACTGTATCTCAACATTGGTGGTTTATAGCGAGCACGGTGTAGGGATGAAGAAAATGAAGCTTGTGACTGAATAAAGGAGGGAAAGACTCGCTAGCAAAATCCTATAGCTCTGACGACTTAACTCACCATATAGCAGCGGCACAACGAACATGGAAGACAGGACAGAGGCGAGAGAGCAACGATAGAAGGCTTGAGCTAAACAACATTGAAGAAGTAGAAGAAGAGTAACGACAGCAAGCTTGTAGTAAAGTTAAGGCCCTCACTGGCGATGCTGTGATGATAAAGAAGGGAGAAGGAACTGACAGAGGGTGGGAGGATGATCAAAGCTTTGTCTCTGTCAGTGGGTTCGAGAGAAATTGGAGAAGAAAATGAGGAGAAAATGACACGCATGAGTTTTATTTTCTGATGCAAATAAGGGCAAAACGGTAAATGTGACCACAAGTTAAATTTTTTCCAATATTAAATTTTATATTTTTATTCTTATTATTTAACATTCTAAATTTTATGTTATTTTAAATTTATTTCACATTTTTTAAACATTTCTATTATATTATATTTGTATAATAAAAATTATAAATTATCATAAATTAATGTCCTTTTTGGTCATTGTATATTCAAAAATACATTTTAAAAGTACAAATTTTTATTAATCCAAACAACTTTCAATTTGTCAAATTAACTTTTGAAAATATGTATCCAAACACAAATTTGGTTACAACAACTGACTTTCACTAAACTAACTTTTGCCAAATAAACTTTCATCAAACTGACTTTTGGTAAACTGAAAATCGAACACACACTAAGTAAGGAGACTATGGCGAGATATATATTTTCTAAATATGAATATGTTAATGGGTTTATTACTTTATCATATAGTTGTTGTTTTAGAAGATGGAGTTCAAATTCGCACACTCCTACTTTAATGAATTTATTATCTGTTGTTCTACAAGGTTATCATGAAGTTCTAGTTTCTAGCAATTTGTTATGGCCCTTTATTTAAAAAAAATTGGCCAAAATATATATATATATATATATATTTTCAAAAAAAAGGAAGGCCTAGTCCTTACATAAGGACGTGCATATGTTTAATTTATTTAAGCATGAAATCTTGCTATTTACATCAGGTCCAATTAAGTAGGATATAAGGGCTTTTTTTGTTGAAGAGAGTTGGATTCAAGAAACTAGATTGGTCCAGTAACCTGGTAGACCAGGTCCAACTCGATCCAGGTCCCAGGTCCAATAAGACTGGACCAGTCCTTGGACTGAAAATTCTAGCCTGATTTTCATTTAGACTAGACTTCAGGTTCGCATCCAACTCAGTCAAGTTTGGTATTTGTGCAGCCCTAATCTTATTGTGAGCGCATTGTTAGATTTATAAGCTATATACTAATACTATCAACTTTTGAAGGGCATGTTAAAATTTCTTGATGAAGTAGCGCATATGTTCAATGATCTCCTCCAACCTTTTTCTATTATATAGTGTTATTTTAAAATTTTTATACTTCATTCTATTTGTAAATCTCTTCTTTTTTAGCACATTGATAAATAGTATTGAGAATTTATTTGTCTTCATATCTATATATCGTAGGAAGAAGTGCCGGTTATGGTAGAAAGAAACCTTAATGCTTATATATTTCATGTCTTGATCAATGATACAAGTCTTTTATTAATGCACGTACATTATATTGAAAATCATTCTATTGATTTTTAACATCTTCATACCTTTCACTTATTTTTTTTCTTTGATTTATATATTAATTATCTCTTGAGTTCTCTTTGTCATTTTCTGTTTGCATGGTCTTATTTTGATATATAATTATCATTAAACTTGGTAGGCATAAAAATTTCTTTGCAAATTTTCTCTTAAGGAGGGGTTAAGTGCTGCATAACTTCACTTTCTATTTCTTGCTATATGCAGCTGAGGTTGTCTAATTAATTCTTCAAAATTATTAAATTATGTTTTATCATTTCACATAATTAATAATAATAATTTTTTTTGGATATAATGGAAAAACTTAATAATAATTATTTACATATGACTTATATTAAAAATTACTCTCTCCGTTAAAAATATGAATCATTTTTTAAAAAATTAAATATTAAAAAATGTAAGATATTTATTGTCTTTTTAGATGTAATTATTTTTTTTTAAGTGTCCTTATTAATGAATATTTTATATTTATTATAAAATATTGTAGGGTGTTTAATAAGAATAAATATAAAAAGATAGAATTAATTTTAAAATAAATAATTATTTTATTAAAAAATAAAATTTAATTAAAAATGCTTTAAGTGGAGTGAGTATTTTTATACATCATGCAATGAACGACATACTTTTTTTCTTTTGTTTGTTTGTTTGTTTTTTTTTTTTTTGGAGCAAAAATGAACGACATACTTACTAGTTTCTTTAACGGTAAGCAACCTTACCCCAGAATCATAGAATCTTGTTGAAGATTCAATCTCCCGCTAGATTCCGTCCACGTGTATGATATCCATTGGCCATTAATGGGACGCGCTTCTATGCATCTCCTTTAAGTACGCGTCGCCGTCCTTGTTTGGTTCTCAGGGATGGAGACAGATTCCGCGTCACCAAAAATCTGACCTTTTTTTATTATAAAAAATTTAATAATTTAATTTTCTTCATTGCGGCAATAATGGCGTGTGCTTATAAAAAGAAAAGGCTTGTGTGCTGTGTCCAATTCCACATATCGAATCGAATCGAATCGAATCGAATCGCTGCCTTTCTGTGTGTTTCTTTCATTTCTGAGGCTGACTTCGTCACTCGTAAAGATCATCGGTGTCGGTATTGCTCTCTTTCTGCAGCTTTCTTGGACTCTTCTCTTACTCTGTTATTGGTTCTCCCTTTGTTTCTTCGGTAAGAGATTCAGTTTTTTTTTTTTTTTTCCCTCTTTGATTTGATCATCCCACTTGTGTTTTTGATCTTTCGTGTTTTGACGCAACTTCGTTCTCAGTTTTCTGTAATATATATATATATATATATATTTTGGTTTCTTGAGGCTTTTATATAACTTCACTTTGTCGCTCCCTATCTGAATCTCTCAATCTACCCTGTTTGTTCTCTAGCTCCTGGGAAAGTGTCGATATAATCCAGGCACTGACTTTTATATATTTTATATCGGTTAATTTCTCCCAATTTCTCGTTCTTTTTTTCTTTCTTTTTCAGTTTGTTTAGGTTTTCTAATCGCTGTTTCTTGATTGAAACTCGCAAATCTTCAGGTTCTGACGAGTGACGAGTTAACTTTCACCCTGTATTAAGTCCCAGTTTCCCCTGTTTTTAAGCTCTGACTCTTCTATTCCTTCCTGGTAAGTTCCTCGAGTACCAATTCTGCCTCTTCTTTCCATAAATCTCACACCTTCTTTTTTATTTTGTGTATTTTCAATCTACGATGTTTCTCTCATCTGGACTCTTCAATAAAAACCTGTGTCTTTGGAAGTCTGATTCCCCTGTTCCAAGCTCTGAATTGAACTTTCTTCCCCTTCTTCATAAATTTCTAAAGTCAGATTCCAAGTGGATTTTCAGACTTCTTAGCTTTTAGTTTTCTTCAGATCTGATCGACGAAATGGCCAAAAAAACAATAGAATTGCTTAAAGGCTGTGCATCAGCAGAAGAGATAATGGAAGTTCTGACATCGGTGGCTTTGCAATTGGGAGACGTAACAGATGATATGGATGCTTTACAGATTGTGCCTTTGAAGGGAGCCATGACCAATGAGGTCTTCCAGATAAACTGGCCAACCAGAAATGGTGATTCCCTTAGAAAAGTTCTGGTTCGATTGTATGGTGAAGGTGTTGAAATTTTCTTCAATAGAGAAGAAGAAGTTCGGACATTCGAGTGCGTCTCCCAGCACGGCCATGGTCCCCGCCTTCTCGGCCGGTTCTCCACCGGTCGGGTCGAGGAGTTCATCCATGCTAGAGTATGTAACTTTTTTTGAAATGCAGGATACTTTTAACTAACTTCACAAGGATTAAGAACAGTAGTTGAAACTAGGATATAGTTGATAAGGATATTTGTGAAAAGGAAGAATTTGATGTTGACTTTTTCTGCCTTACATTTTGAATCAACTCTAGCTGGTAGAAAATATCTTATATTTTGGATCAGAAAGAGTTTATGCTTAATTTGAATGTCTTTTCTCAGAGTTATTTAGTTTTGTCAGGTTTTTTCTTTGGTGATGATTCTTAGCTTCCCTTCTTTTTGTTACCCTTTTCTTTTGGAGAAATGAATGGATAGAATAGCTTTAACCGTTAAGTGCCTTTGAATTTATTAGGAGAAGTTCCGTTGAGAAACAAAAGTATCATGTGCTCTTAAGCTCTCAAGGTTCTTTATTTACGATTCTTTTGTGTCCTTTATTCCTTCTCTTTCTTTCTCTTTTTGCCCCCACCTTGAAAAGCTCTTCTGCATGGGCTTCTTTCCCTTGCTGTGATTCCTGCATGTTTGGTAATAGACAATGACATGAATAGAAGGATAAGTTTCTTGAAATTGGAAGGGCAAACGATACGCTTATTCAAACGTGGAAATATCAGCCCTGGAGAAAGTCTGGCTGAAGGCTCTGTGTCTTCTGTTTTCCAGTGACCACTTGCATTGATAAATATTTATAGATAATTAATGAATTAAGGGACCACTTACGTGTGTGTGTGTGTGTGTGTGTGTATTGGCATATTTTGCAGACAAGGTTCTATGATTTTGGCATTTATAGCTACTACTGAACAAGCAAAATGACTAAATATTCCATGTTGCCTCAAGTATTAAGAGTGTGAAATGCCTTGGACAGTAACGAAAGAGATGAAAACCATGCTTGAAACTTAATTTTGTAAATAAAAGGACTGGTCATGGAATTGGACAGAAGATTGTCATGTTACTGAAACTTTAGAAACTATCATTATATTTCAAAGGCAGCTAGAAAAAATTCTGTAAGAAAAAGAAACTAACTGGTCAAAACCAAGTCAGGAAATCCTAGTCAACCAAAGAAAGATTAGACAGATTTTGATATTAGCTTCAAATTGATCATGTTGTGCTTGTGTGTGACTCGTATCATTTCTTCTATTTTGGCTTTTCAGACACTCTCAGCTGCTGACCTACGAGACCCGGAAATATCAGCTTTAATAGCATCTAAGATGAGGGAGTTCCATAATCTTCATATGCCGGGTCCAATGAAAGTTCAACTTTGGCAGAGGATGAGGTAATTTATAATACATCAGGTCAAACTTATTCATAATTTTCAAAGCAAAGCAGAATGCTAAGTTGACTTTTACTTGTACTTTGTCTTCTAGGAACTGGCTCAGTCAGGCCAAACGTTTGTGTTCCTCAAAGGATATCAAGAAATTTGGGTTGAAATATCTTGATGAGGAACTAAATGTCCTGGAGACATCATCTGAAAGGTGTCAAGAGATCGGTTTCTGTCACAACGACCTACAATATGGTAACATAATGATGGATGAGGAAACCAGATCAATCACTATAATTGTAAGTTATTTTTCTATATTATGGCTATCTATCATGTTCATCTTTACTTTTTTTTTTTTTTTTTGGAATTACCAGGCCACGGTCAAAGCCGTGCAAAGAACAAAATGCATGACTAAGCCCAGTCAGATAACAGAAGATTCCTGCACCTTAAGGGCGGGTTGTTAATGATCCTAGTATCAGACTATCATGATCAGCTTGATGAACAAGGCAAGCCAGTTGAAAGGAACTTGTCCATCTGTACTAGGATTATCTACTCTAGAGTTTGAAGCAGAAAAAACTGATACTTATCTGGCTATGATTTATGCTAAGAGAACAGTAGAGTGATAACCATTAGTGGTTCATGATCTATAGGATTTATGAACTTGAGCTATAGGTTCTTCTTGCATCTGTTATATCCTTTGAAGAACTTGGTTCTTATTTATATGATTATTTGCATGTGATACAGGATTATGAATATGCAAGTTACAATCCTATTGCATATGACCTGGCAAATCACTTTTGTGAAATGGCAGCAAATTACCACACTGACACGCCTCATGTGCTGGACTACAGTAAATATCCAAATTTGGAGGAGCGCAAAAGATTTGTTCGCAGTTATTTAAGTTCTGGAGGTTAGTCCTTGACCTAACACACACTAACCTAGTCCTTTCTTATAGGAAAGAGAGGCACATGCCTCCATGCGCGCACAAAAACATGTCTATGTTAAGTTTGAACTTGAGACCTCTTCCAAGTGAGAGAGGTGGTGCTGCCATTAGGATAGCTTGCCACTGACACCAATCCGTATCTATTGGTAAAGATGATAGTGCTGATGAGTTAAACCTAAAGTGAAATGAATTTAGGGTGCTGAATTTCAATATAGTTGACTTCTCTTAATATAGAAAATTTTAACTTAAAAAACACACACACACACACACACATCTCTGTACATGGTTCAAGGAAGTAGAACCTTATAATAACAAAAATAAGTCAGATCATATTGCTTAGTTATAAATGGTTTTTGAGACTTCTTTAACACTTTTTAAGTTATCCCTGAACTACAATTCTTCTGAATTTAATTCATGATTCTAACTTGTTTGGAGACTCATGGTACCCAGGCAAGAAACCAAGTGATGAAGAAGTGGAGCAATTAGTGGAAGATGTAGAAAAATACACTCTTGCAAACCATCTTTTTTGGGGCTTGTGGGGGCTTATTTCGGTAATCATCATCATCATCAATGTGTATATAGATACGTATGTATATAATATGCTCAAGACAGAAAAACTGAGATGTTTGACATTTGGAATTGCAGAGTTATGTCAATAAAATTGACTTCGACTACAGAGAGTATGCAAGTCAGAGGTTTAGGCAATACTGGTTGAGGAAGCATATTCTGTTGGACACAACTCACTCCGCAACATGTATGGATTTGTGAATAGAGAAGTCTGCTTATGTCTTTAATACGTTAGTCATTTTTAAGCTTAGCATTGTATTTGATGAATGATAGAGGAACTGTAAAGGGCATGATTTTCAGTATCTGTATATGATACACGCTCACACACACACATATGTATGTATGTATGTGTGTGTGTATATATATATATATATAATCAGCAATGAGTGATGTTTTGTTTAGTTTTTACATAGGATTTTCGTATCATTCCCTGTCTTTCTGAAATTGAAAAGGAAGAGCTAGATTTATAATAATCCCTAGTTATACATGTACATTTCTTTTTCAATGTAGAAAAAGCACCAGGCAAAACAATTACATCTACTGGATATCCCTATTCATTAGTTAAAAGAACACATTACCCTCAACGATAACCCAAGCAGGGACAGAATCACGGGGGCAAGCACCCCATGTCACCAGTTTTTTTTTTTTTAATTGCTTTTTTTTTTTGCAAACAATGTTAAAACTAATTTTTGCCCCTCCTTTATCATGTGATCTTGTATTTTGACCTCCCATAGAGTTGTTCTAGATCTGTCCTTGATCCCAAGCCTTCTTAGCCAACAAACATATCGGCAACATCACTCCCCTGTGATCACGAGTGATCCACAACATGCAATAGCATCTCCGAACCTTCTATAAGTTCCATTGACATTGAACTATCTAATAAAAATTAATTCAGTTGGTTAAAATTTTGCTCATAATTTATAAAGTTGTGGGTTTAAATCTCATTATTAATATAAAAATTTTATTGTTGGGTGATTTGTAAGTACTTTTATAAGTGCTATTTAAACTTAAAGTTATGTCATGATCTTCATGATCTTGATGAATCTTCAGATCTGATTCATCTAAACTTTTTGACTCTTTGTTAGCCACAAAAAAAAAAAAAAATGAGACATTGAACTTGATGAACCCCATGAATGGAGCCCACCATCTGGACTTTACCATTTTCAGGAAACATAATGCAAAGCTTAATGTAAAGGCTTTAAAACAATGCTTAAAATCCGCCCTAATGCTTGTACATGTGCTAGAGTTTCTTGGATATCCGCTACCCTATCTGAAAAACTCCCATATTCACGTCAAGCCATGGCTATCTGCAAAGTATAAAGAACCAAACATCCCACCGAGCTCCTTGTAGTATAGTCTTTTGGCTTAAATTCTAATCAATCCAATGCACATGGTTATCAGTATAGAAAAGAAAGTGACCTGCAAATTAAATTACGAGGAACCAGATTAAATCAACACTCCAACGCCATGTTACAATCGTGCAATGGATGAATTATATCTTCTTTCCTTTCCATAAAAGCCAAACACTCACCGCCTACAATGTATTTGCCAAGGTCCGTTGCGGGAAAAAATCCCAAAAATTCACTAATGTCCTAAACACGAGTATGCGTTAACATTACCAGAAAGAAAAAAAAAATATACATATATATATATATACGGGACTTGGCACTACTAACCTTTTTTTCTAGAGTCTTCACAAATATAAGTCATCTACAAAATAACAAATGCAACAACGCTGTATTATTCTTCTTCAATATAAAAGGGAGCCAATCTCCAATAAAATTGTGCAGATTTCATGAGACAGCAGCACGCATGACCAAACTTCTGGCATGAAAACTTTGCATTGCGATGTCCGGTTGAGGAGATTTAAATACTCATATAAAGTTTATTCAAAAATCTAGTTAATGGAATAGGTTCTACAATAAAATAATATCATACGAAAAAATTGAACAGCCGGAACCAAACCTATCTCATTTTCACAACTTTACACTTACAGTGTCCAAATTCACTTCCTAATGCACCTTCCCTTTTATGCTTGGTTTTAGTTATATATATATATATATATTGGACTTTTTCTTTAAGAAAATAATATTGTTATCGCCCCCCCCCCCCCGGGGTTTGGTAAATTTTACAACGGAGTTAAAAACAACAAAGGGAGAATTGCATGTTAGTTCCCTGCATAGTGAAATGACAACTTCATTGTGTTATTATTTTTCTGTGCTCAATTGTTGATGTACTTTGTGATAATTAATTGTGCTGTTGGGGGACAAAAATGTAGATCTTACAAAAGTAATGGCTAAATAATGCATTAAAAAATACGATTAAATATCATTTGTTCCCTCAAACTTTTTGTTTGTCTGTGTCCTGAACTTTGATTTTTAGTTATTATTGTCCCTGAACATTTGGAATCACTTGCCCCATTACCCTCGTCCATGCGCCTCACTGGTCTGTCATTGGGTCCCATCTTGCACACCTGGCTTTTTTTAATATTTTTTTAACAATAAAATATTCCACCTCCTCTCCCTCCTCCTCTTCTCCCCCCCCACACACTCTCTCTCTCTCTTCTCCCCTCCCTCTCCCTCTCTACTCTATGGAACACCCTGCTCTCTACTCTTTCTGCCATCACCATGCATCACTGGACTTGGCTTTGCTCCTTTGAGGCTTTCCTCGGAGGAGTGTCCTGCTAAGACCCAATGAAATTTAAATGGTTCAGATTAATATTTATTTTTATTTTTATTAAAATAAAAAATTATAAAAATGATTTTTTTTTTTAAAAACCTTGTTATCAATATATACAGTTTAGATTTAATATTAATGTTTAAATTTAATATTTAATTTTTTTATATAATTTTTTCACAGTTTGATATAAAATATTTAACTTGTAATTTTTTAAATATTTTTAAAAAATTCTTTTTAATAGATATTTGCACTGTTCAAAGGATATCCAAATAATCAATTTATAAAAAATTTAATATTAAATTTGAACTATTTATATTAAATCTTGACTGTTAGAGTATATCTGTCTAGATAATTAATTTATAAAAAAAATTAAACATTAGATTTGGACTATTAATATTAAATCTAGGCTGTTTAGATTGTAACAAGATTTTTTAAAAAATTATAATATAATTTTTATAATTTATTTTAATAAAAATAAAAAATAAAATATTAAATCTGGTCTGGACGGTCTAGATTTGGAGAGGGGCCTCAGGGGACGCTCCTCCAAGGAAAGCCTCAGAGGTGCGAAGCCATGAACTTCCATCACCATGAAGATTCTAGTACCCATAGCATCATCGAGAAGGTCCATGATGTTGCTCGCAGCCGTAGCATCGTTGTGCTCACCATCCACTAGCCTTCCTCCAAAATACAGCTCTTTCTCGACGGTTCAAAGGGTGAGACAAAGGCATGTTGCTCTAAACCAAGAACCAGCAATTAATGATGCGAGTGTTGGGACTCTGCCTTAGCAATGTATCAACATGCATGCGGATTAATCCGGTTCAGAATGATGAGTTAGCTTTTGAAGAATCAATTCCTGATGCTAATGATCATGATGATGATGATGATTCGGAGACAGATTTGACTCTGAAGCTCTAGACAGGGTTTTTAGTTCTTATTCTTGTTGATGTTGATGTTGTATTGTTGTTTTGGCCTGAAAATGTCATAGGACAATGAGAGCCGTGGATTGTGGGCTTAATGGTTAAAATTGACAACTTAAAATATTTTAAGAATATATATATATATATATATATGGTTAAAGCTTCTTGGTTCCCCGACCTATCCCTGGTGAATATAAATGTATTCTTAAAATACTTTAATTTAATTTGTCAATATTAACATTTAAGCTACTATTCACAGCTCTCATTGTCCTATGAAACTTTCAGGTCAAGTTGACAACACAACAATGTAACAATAACATCAACAGGAACAAGAACTGATAACTGTATATTCAAAGTCAAATCTATCTTTGAATCATCATCATCATCATGATCACTAGCATTGGGAACTAATTCTTCAATAGCGAACTCATCATTTTGAGCTGGTTGATCTACATGCATGTTGATACATGGCTAAGGCGGAGTCCTAGCACTCGCATCATCAGTTGCTGGCTCTTGGTTTAGAACAACATGTGCTTTTCCCACCCTTTGAAGCATCGAGAAGGAGATGGATTTTGGATGAAGGTTGGTGGATGGTGAGGGTGACGATGCTGGTGAGGAAGAGATCAGATGAAGGATCTAATTGTGTGTTTCATTTTTCAATAGCCTTATATTTATACATGTATCGCCATACATCCATATTAATAGTTATGAATATGCATTGAACTTGAAATTAGCACAAGACACTCCATTAATTACTGTACAGTGTTCTTATTCAATTTTTAATAAATAAAAAGAAAAATATAAAACATTTACTTCCCCCTTTTTTGAATGAAAAAGGCTAATAAAAATCATAACAAGGGGGAAAAAACTAGTAAGGATGTACAAAACCAATTCAAATGGATCACACCTAACCTGTCAAAACTGATTATAATTAAATTCGGTTTGGTTTGGTTTTTTTTTTTTCATGAAAAAATTGATTAGTTCGGTTCAGTTCAAGTTTTTGCTTCGAGAAACTTGAGCCAAACTAAACCAACTTTGTTATATTTATTATATATATATATATATAGACATATATTATAAATTTGCCAAAGTTTTTTCTCTTCAACAAGTTTGGTTATTTATAAATTATGAGCAAAAATATGTTACAATTAGCTAAATATTATCTATAATTGTTTATGATGATTTTTTAAATTTTATAATCAGGTGTTTTAAAGATAATATATTAATTTTTAATTGTTAAATATGCTAACTAATTGTATAAAAAAATTCTTTTGTGGTCTTTAAATTTTTCCATTGCAAGTAGTAATTAATGGTTAAAAATTATTAGTGAATATGAATATATATTGATGATTATAAAAAATATCTTATGAAAAAAGTTCAAACTTAATCCAAACTACTTAAAAACCAAACCAAATCAATTAAATAAAAAAATATAACTAAATAGATCACAAACTTTAATGAACCAATTGGTTTGGTTTTTTTTTCCTCAAAACCGAACCTGTAAACACCTTCTAAAGTGTTAAGGAGACTATGTGTTCTATTTATTTAATTCAGGAAGTCATAAAATTATTTTGGGATTTTGTAAATGTTGTGAATTGAATATCGTTGTCTTGCATAGAATTGACAAGTCAATTAATATATCAAAACATATATATATATATATATATATATAAAAATCATGATATATTTTCTTTTCTTAAGTATCGACATAAATAAAGAGCTCGGTCCGATCCAATTCACTCAGCCAAACTGCTTAAAAACCGGTCCAAACCGATTAGATGAAAAAACCAAACAGATCCCAAACTTTAATGAATCAATTGGTTTATCGAATCTATGAACACTCTTACCTGCTAAAGTGTCAAAGAGACTAGGTATTCCCGTTTATTTAGCTGTGAAAGTCATAAAATTATTTTGCAATTTCCTGAATGTTGTGAAATTAATATCGTTGTCTTGCACAGAATTGACGAGTCAATTAACATATCTATAAAAATCACGGTATTTTTTTTCTTAAGTATGGATGTAAATAAAGAGCTTGTTCTGATCCAATTCACTCAACCATATCAATCCAAAATTAACCAAATCATCTTAATTTTGAAACATAATATTTTGTTTCTATATATACATATTTAATTTTATTACTATTTAAAAATGATTTTCAAGTCCTACATTCACTTGTAGTGCTTTCTTTGGTCCCCATTCATTTATAATAAAAATAAAAGAATGTTTTTTTAATTAAGATGTATATATTATCACATTAATTACAAAAAATGTGATGTTAGGTCTTTTAACAAATGGAAAACTACCTTTTACATGTTGCATCTAATACATTGTACTTTTAATTGTAATAAGCGTATAAACATAATCTATAAATACTCAATTATAATATACCACTTCTGATATTGAACAAGAAGAAACTCTATATGCTAAATGCATCAGATTTTGAAAATTGTAAGCTCTAAGATCAAATGGTCGATTATGTGATTTTGATGTTAACAAAACTACGAACTTAATTGTTTTAGACAATATTAAATTTTGATCATTATCAAGCATATAGCTCTTTTTTTTGTCTTTAATTTATTCCTCTACATGAAAGTATGCTAGGATCGGAGATCGTCCTAAGTATTTATATTTATTAATTTATTTTATTTATTCATATATATATATATATATATTTGATTCAATTATTATTGACTAATTTGTTTTCCATTGTAGTAGGGTATTGAACAGTTTTTGGAGTTTTATAATGCTCCCATTTTCTAAAAATAAAGACTTTGTTAAGAGTTATGATTGGCAAAATATTCTAATACATTCATATTTATAAGAATTTATAGAGTTTTTGAAAATAAATTAATTGGATTCATAAATTTACATGACCTTTTGATGATTTTTTGTTTTGAATTGTTTTCTAAGATTAGAAACAAGTACAAGATAAGCTTAATTGTATACATTGTCCTTGTTGGTACGTGAAACTTTTGGAACTTGTTATTGGATGTATCAATGACTACTACAAAAAAAAAAAAAAGCTTTTCATGTTACTTTTTTTAGGACATTTCACATCCCTATCATGGAGGACATACATTTGAATAATATATAAAGTTAACTTATTTACATTACTTTTATGAGAAATGTGTTTTTTGAAAAAATCATGTTGCTTTTAGTCATAAAAGAGACATGGTTTCTCTAGAAAAAATATATTAAAATAATTTAAATTTAAATATTTAAAAATTAATGTCTATAAAAATAACATTAACTTACGTGTTAAGCTAACGTTTAACATTAATATTAACTTGTAATTCCTATTTAACAATGAGAGACAAATGAATTTGACATTCTTGGATGTTTGCAAAGCAAATAGCGTGTTTATATTATTTCCTTCTTTAATCTAAACCAAGCAACTAGCTTTGCCTTACAACAAAATAATTAGCATACACCAAAATAAAAAACATGCAAGAGAGCAACTAATATAGAAAATTAATATTCTAGATGTTACCCACAGTTAATTTCATTTTTATTTCATCATCTAGCTAGCCATGAATTTTAATCTAAAAAACAAAATACAAGAAAAATAAAATCATACTAGATTAATTTCTCTCTCTCTCTCTCTCACACACTCCCATGAGCAACTAATTACTTGTAATAACCCTAAAAAATGAATGATGATGATGATGATGATGATCAAATAGTAATAATAATAAAAATAACATATATATAATAATTTGTTTAGAGTATATTTTATTTATGTTTGGAATCATTATGACAAAGTGAAATATTGGTAAAGTAAAAGTGTGCATGTCACCCATCATTATTATTAAGGTCCCATGTTCAAATCCTTGATGTTAAATGGGATTTTATTTTTTGTTTTAGCTTCTTTAAAATTACTAAATTGCCCTCTCTTCAATCTGGTTGCTATTCTCTTGTCTCCTATCCAATTCACGCGTACAGAGCCAAAGAGGGAGCTAGAAATTTCGTCTCTGAAGCTTCAAGGTTCGGACCCAAAAAAATTGCTGTCTATCATCTTCCTCTCCTCCGTTCTGTTCTCATCACCGGTGGAAGTGGAGGCTTGTCACTGCTCTGATACGTTCAGGTCTTTCTTCGTGCTCCCTATCTCTGTTTGCTTTTCTTGTTGCTGCTCTGCCTTTGTCGTTCACATCTGAGTCGCTGGTTGATGGAAGAAATCAGGTCGTTGGAGTTGGTGTACTGATCGCGAGCCTGATCTGGTACTGAATCTGTTCTTTCTATCTTCCTTCTTTCTGGTTCAGACGAAAATCTCGTCTTCTCTTCCTATTCGGTCGACAGCTTCTTAATCTCTCCCTCCTTTATTCTTTTCATTCGTGGTTGGGGAACGAAGGAAGAGCTGGTCTGGTGCTGTGGAAGGACTAACTCGTGGCTTAGAGGCTAAATTATTGCTGTCTTCTTCTTCCCCTGTTCAGCTGTAGGTTCCGTTTTCCTTCTTCCCTATGTGCGCGCTGTCGGCTGCCTGAGGTGAGGAGTTTTGAGCTCTTTCATTTGCTGGCTCTGTTGTGCATGTGAATGGATGGAATGATGGAGTTGAATGCTGAAAAATTGTTCTCCTCTTTGCTGATGTTCGTGACTGTATGTGTTGTTCATGGAGGGAAAAATTTGAATTAAGTTGAAATATACAGTAGGAAAAGGAAGATGATGATAGTGTTGATTTAAGTTTTCAATTGAAAATAATTGGATATTGATATTGTAAGACTTATGGAAGCTGAAATCTAGAAGCAAAGATTAGTCTTAGCTTGCGAAAAATATGCCCATGAAGTGTTCGAAAGAATGTCTAGTAGGAGACGTATGAACATAGAAGCTATTGAATTATGAATGAACTTGTACATTTCAAAGCAATGTAATTGTAAAATTGTATGTAACTATTTAAAATTTTTGGCATTTATATGGATACTGATAAATTGTTGGATATTTTAAATTGAATGGTTAGAAATAATACACATAAGGTGTTTGATAAAAATTACAAGAGAAATTCTACCTCAAGTAAATAGAAAGGCATGACTAAAACAAGTTGGAGGAGATTAATGATGTGAATGATAATCCTTCGTCCAATTTTCTAAAGCATGAATGTTAGTTTTAAAATTTTAGATGATGGTTGGTTGAGATTGTATTATAAATTAAAAATTTATTAAAATTATATTTATTTATATTCTTATAAGATGTGTGAAAGAATAGGACCTTGACAAGAATTAAAAAATATTTTAAAAATTTAAAACTTTGACGAATAAGTAAATAACATCCCATTTAATTATTTATTAATAATCTTTTATTGAAATATTTTATTTTTATGAATTATGTTAGTTTTAGAGACTTTGAAACAATGATGAAGGACAATTGCATTATGATATATGCATTTATTATTCCTCAAGAAATTTATTTCTAAGATTGATGAAGGTATCTTTATTTATTGAATTTCGAAATTTCTTAGTTACACAATTAATGCAAGTTTTTGCATTCGCTCTGATGTATTAATTTTGCAAGTTTTAAGATTTGAAACAATTCATATGAGTTTGGTATTGAGAATGAAAATTTTATTTCAAAAATAATTATTTCTCTTGCATTTGAAATGTGATTTCTAAGAGGGCTCTAAACAAAATACTATTGTTAATGGTAATTTCATTAGCTCGTAACACGCGATGACTAATGATTGGCTAGTTTGTTTCATGGACTTTGTTCTCACGTTTGTTATTCATGGGTTTCATACCTGCATTTGGATTTCACGGCTATGAACAGGGTTTGGTTAGTATTATCCTTGTAGACTGTGTGTCCATGTTTGTTTTATAGCTCAGGCTACGTTTGGTTATTTACTCTTATGGACTGTGTGTCCACGTTTGTCTTTGTGGTATTAGTCACATTTGGTTATTTTACTCTTGTGGACTGTATATTTACATTTATTATCTATTCTGTTAAGTCCTCACACAATTCTAAATTTGGATAAATTTATATATCTGAAATTTTAATGGTTTCAATCGTTAGTATGTTATTTTGATCCACATATGTATAAATTATTTTTTCTTCTACCATGATCATATAAAGTGTTTTCAATGTTTTAGTTTAATCTCATTTTGACGGTTATACTTAAGATTTATAAAGTTATTGCGTATATTATATTGAATTCTTATCCTTCCAACTAATTTACCAAATTGATTGAATTTATTATTTTAAATTTTATTTTTGGGGATGTTATTTATTGAGAAATTTATTTTGGTCTCGAATTTGTTATCTTATGTGATCTTACTACTGACCTTTAAAGGGTAATACAGCTATATTGGGTAAAAATTTTATTTGGTACTATTACCTTTTGATGTAAATATTTAAGTCTTATGTATTTTTATTTAGAAGAAAGATTAGTTGCTCCACATAGATTATGTTAGGACTTTATTTTGATTTATATACTGTTTTCTGGCTAGAAGGAGTTAAGCTCCTAATTGATATTATATTTTGTAAAATTTTGTGTTGTAAAATTTTTAGGAGATCCTATTTGCTGGAGAAGTTCTGCCAAATTTTTTACAAAAATATTAAAGCTTTACTATGACAATTGGTATTAATGTTAGAATTTCCATATAACATGATTATTTATTTTTAAAATGGAATAAATTTTTATTTTGAGGCTTATGAGAATGCGTGATGTAATTTACACCTATGTCAATCACCCTCTATTTCGAGCGTGACATGACTTCACCAATATCCTTTGTAGAAAAAAATCCATTGTCGAAACTACACTCGAAATGAAGCAATATAAATTTTAAAAGTTGCTTCACCAAAAATTCCCTTTATCTCCTTAGCCTACTCTCTCTCTCTCTCTCTCTCTTTAATATAATGGAAAAATTCATTAACTTAGAGGAAAAACTGTTCAAGGTTCAAAAATATTAACGTTGAAGCAAAAATGAATGTAGAAGGTTCAAGCAGAGAGGTTAGAAATATTTACAAAGAAAAAGAGTTTGTGAATGAAAGTAACACTAACCAACTATTGCTCGCTCAGGGCAAAAAGGAGGAGAAGCTGTGAGTCTTGAAGCTGTCTATCGAATGAGGAGAAGAGGAGAAGAGGAGAAGAGAGAGGTGTTTGTCAAATGCTCGCTATTGAATGCTAGCCGTGGGTCTTGATGCCATGAGAAGGAGAAGAGAGAGTTGCTGTGGAAAGGAAAGGAGAGATTTATAGTGGGGAGGAGAGGAGAGAGGTGCCGTTGTCGAAGGGAAAGAGGGAGAGGAGTTAGGTTTTGTAACATCCTAAAAATTTTAAGACTCAAATTTATTTAAAAAATAAATAAATAAAAATAAAATAAAATATCTATAATTAAATTAAAATTTAGAATAATTTAATAGAGGCCCAGAGTTTGAATTTTACTAAGCAAAAGTTTAGTTTTATTTGATTTTTAACTATGGGAAAAATTACCAAAGTTGACCCGGGCTTTTGTGCAATAATAAAAAATGTTGGGCCCTTTCTTGTAATTTTTCCCAAACTTTTTGACCAGCATTTTAAAGAGCAAACAGATGCAGAAAAAGCAAAAAATGAACAAGGGAAGGAAACGCACAAACGGTAGAGTGAGAGAGAGAGAGAGAGAAGAAGAAAGGAGAAAGAGAGGGAGTTAGGCTTGGATCTAGGAGTCTTTACGACCGTTGCGAGCTCGGCTACACGATAGGTAAACTCCCTACTTCAATTCTCTTCTCTTTCTCTTAATTTTCTTCAATTTTTGGAAGAGAAGATTTTGGATTTTGATCCCAAAGGCTTTATTCTTGTAAGCTTTTGTTTCTTTAGATCCTAGGGAGCATGTTTTGAGTTTCTATATAGTGATATAATGTTTTGAGTGGATAATTGGATGAAAAGAGGTGTTTTGAACACAAAATAAATCCTGAGAAATTGGGTTTTTGCTCTTCAATGGTTTAAGCTTATTGATTTAGTTATAATTTTGCTATTTGAGCCCAATAAGATTTAAATTAAGGTTTGGTTTTCATTATAAGGGCTAATGGTGAAAGTTGGTGACACTAAGTGAAGGTTTTTAATTGATAAAAAATTATATAAATTGGAAATTAGCCTAATGATGGCTAATAAATGGTTTTGGTGGTTAAGTGATACTATGTGAATGGTTGGTTAAATATATGGACCATTGGGATGGATTATGGCTCATAGACTTAAGTTGTGTGGTATGAGTTATAGTCTTCATTGATGCTATTTGTCATGATAAGTGATGTGGATCACTTATATGTTGTAGAAAATTGTTGGTGGAACTTATTGAGAAGTAAGGAACAAGCCGAGCCCTATTTTGTACAAGGAGAACCCTTTTGGTACCAAAGGGTTGAGGTAATAGGGGAAATTTATATTTCTTATTACTTTGTTTTAGCTATTTTTGAATAAATATTACTAGTTATCATGCATTACATGTTTTAAAAGATTAAATGTGCTTTATAAGGGGTTATGGGGTACTACTTTGATTATAGTGCAAATATGTTTTCTAATTGTTTAATAACAATGTTTTTATGAAAATGAGATTTATAAATATTATACTACTTTAGAGTGTTGAATGGTCAATACTCAAGAAAGGTAGATAAGAGTAAAAGGCATGATCTCGGTGGGAGTTCACCAATGAGAAGGTGTGGATTTTTGATATTTTATGGCACACTGTCAGTACTCAGTGTTGTCTTACGTATTGTGGGCTCAGTGCACTAAAGTGGTTAGTGTATTGAGTGTTCGACACCTCTCAGTGGGGGAGGGAATCCAACATATGAAGTGTGAGGTTGAGTGCCTAGGCCAAGGTAGCCCTCACATGGAAAGTAAGTTGGGCTGGCTCTGGGAGGGAGTTAGCTTCAACTGCTTAGGATTCACGTCGAAGGAGCATAGGAGGTTCGGTGGATTAGATCATGCCTTAGATTATGTTTTGTGCCTGTGGAGGTACAAGTAGGTATAAGGTTTACCTGTGAGTTAAAGAGTGCCAGGGGGCATTCTGTTGGTCTTAAAAGGCCATACCGGCCTAGGTCATGCATTCATACATTTTAAATGGCTAAATTATATACTATGTTGAATTTATTATTCATTTATTTGATTATGGCTTATTTTGTAATAATCAATGTAGATTTCTCTGTTACTGAGACTGTGGTTGTCTCATCCCTTTCTTTTCAATATTTCAAGTCCAGGTGAAGGATCTAGTGGTGGACGGGGAAAAGAGCAGAGCTAGGGGTTTGCTTGTGATTTGTAAAGAACTGCAACCCCTTTCTTTTGAGCAAATATATTGTAATGTATTTAAGATTAGGGTGCCAGTAGGATATGATTATGTGTGTGTGTGTGAATATGTGTGGATTGTGTGCTTGTGTATGAATTTTTGTCTGTTTGCAGACTTGTGGCTAGGAAACTTGGTTATGGTGTGTGGTTTTGATGGATTTACTTAGTAGACTAAGTTTCTATTACAAGCAGATCTTTATTTTGATATATATGTGATTTTATAAGCAAATGCAAAGTGGTTGCATTGCAAATGGTGTGCTATGGGCAAACATACAGCTTGGATAGAGAGAGTGGGTGTGTAGGCCCCACAAGGAGCTCTGAGTCAGGTGAAAATGTTTAGCATATTTATTTATATAAATACATGGTATTTGGATTGATTTGTGACCACTCTTGTATGATTTGTGCATTTTGGGGGTTTAGGGTCCATTTTGAGAAATGGCACCCGGGTGGTCAAATTTTGATATATGAGGTTTTTCCATCATTTGAATGTTCTATCAGGTGTTTTTAGTCTTATTTGATGTGTCCAAAGTATTTCCACAGGTTTGTGACCATTAGGATGAGATTTGGACAATTTTGAAAATAGTTTTTTACCAAAAAGCTGCACTTTGCATCCGGGTGTCCAAATTTTAATCTGACCGTTGGATCTTTTTGAAATTTGGTACACTTATAGTACTCTTTGAATGTGACGTGTGAGCTTTAAAATCACTTCGATCGCAGTCGAATGACGGAACGGCGCCTCCTGGAAGTTGGCTCAGGAGGGCTGTCATGACAGCAATAAATTACTGTCATGACAGCATCTTTTTATTCCATTTTCGTCTAGCTTGCTTCCGTGCGCTATAGGTAGAACCTATAATTATTTTTAAGGTTTTAAATGATTTATTTCTTAAGTTGGTTAGAGGATCAACTCATTAACCACACTTAGTTTGTTTGAATTATGTGATTTTTGGATAACACTCAAGGCAAGTGTTACAGGTTTCAAAACATAGAATGATGAAGTGAGGGAGGAACTCGATCTAATTTAAAAAAGTTGACTAAAATTCATGTTGCTTTTTTCAAAAAAATGATGTGATTTTAATCCAATATCCACGCCACTTTCTCTAAAAGCGATGTGAATTAGATAGAAAATTAATATAATTTAAAATATTTTATTTTCTATAATTCACATTACTTTTTAAAAAAGTGACGTAGATAATTTATTCATGTTGCTTTTTTAGAAAGCGATGCAAAAAATGTCTAAAAAATTAATAATTTAAAATAATTTATTTTTTACAATCCATGTTACTTTCTAAAAAAGTGACGTGGATACATACGTCACTTTCTAAGAAAATGACGTGTATAATGTCTAAAAATTAATAATTTAAAATATTTAAAAATTAATAATTTAAAATAATTTAGTTTTTATAATCTTCATCAATTTCTAAAAAAGTGATGTGAATAAATTATCCACTTTATCGACGTCTTTTTTTTAATAGAAAGTGACATGGATTATGTCCAAAAAATTAATAATTTAAAATAATTATTTTTCACAATTCATGGTATTATCTGTAAAATGAAATAGATTTAAATTTTGATGTCACTTTTATGAAAAGTGACATTGATAGTTTTACATATTCAATACTTATTTATAAAATTATCACTGTCTCTATTTTTTATTTCAATTTACAAAAAGTGACGTAAATTGAGGGTTGTAAAATGTATATTTTATAGTAATGCTACTTGAAAAATTAGATAGATAGATATAGTTGTAAAATTATTTGTTGTATTGGTTATAATAATATATTTTGTACTTTTTTGTGTATAGCTAGATTGATAATAAATATTTAAAAAAATAATACAAGAGGTGGCATTTGTAAGTGAAGAAAATGCCACCCATATTATTTAAAAAAAAAAATAAATTAGAGATGTGGTGTTTAAATAAAAAATAATTTAGAGAAGTGGCGTTTCTTCTGTCTGTTTAAAAATAATAATAAAGAATAAATTCAAGCAACAAAGGAAATTCCACCTATTTGTTTGTTTTTTAAAAAATAAGAAAATTAATTTAGAGAGGTGGTGTTTTTTTTAGGAGAAAAGGCCACCTTTCTCCTTTTATTTTTTAAAATTCAATTAAAGAGGTGGCATTTTCAAAACTAAACACTACTACTTGTACGACAATTGTGTGGCGTTTCATTATTGAGACTTATAATGTTTTGTAAATACTACAAAATTAAAATTTTAAATTCCATCAAAGCTTCTTTTTTTGTAGTGAAAAACTACAAGAAAGGTCTCATATAAGAAACTTATTTATAAATAAGTTTTAAGAATTCGTATAAATATATTCAGGTCTTATGGAATTTGGTTGAAATTAATTTAGAGATAATTAAATTTTTAGTCCTTTGAGTTTTTCTCAATTATCAATTTAATCCTTGAAATTTAATTTTATCAATTTGGTCTTTTACATTTTTATAAATTATCATGTTAGTTTTTTATGTTTTAGAAAAACAAATTGACTTTCAAATTAATCCAATATGTAATATAATTTAATGACTTGACATGTATGTATGATTAAATAAGAACAAATCAGCCCTCAAATAAGTAATGACCTAGAATTTAATTGAAATTCAAATTAATGATAAGGTATTTTGAGATATATATCTATATATATATATATATATATATAGTATTAATTTATTAAGGAGGTGAGTTAGCCTACTGGTAATTGAGCTATTCTTTCATAGGGCAAGTCTTAGATTTTAGACCCTTTCAAGGTAAGGGGAGAATTTTTATTTTAACCAATAACTTAGCTAAATTGCCATTTTGCCTCTTGGTGTTTTATGAAAAAAAAAGGAATCCAGAGACAAGATATCGAGAAGCTTCTACTTTATTTAGGGAGGGAGTAGACTGGCAGAGAGGGAGGAAAAGAGAGTGCGCATGAATCCTCCCTGTTGTTCTTCGGTCTTCCTCCGTCATTCTTCTTTGGTGTCGACAACCTTGAAAGAAGGTCTTCTTCTTCCTCCTCTATGTGCTGTCACGTGGAAGCAAGGGGATTCATCTTTCTTCTCGCTGCTTCCTTTCATTAATTGATCACCATCATAGGTTATCACAAGCTCATCCAATCCCTATTCTTCTACATCTTCGACGATGGGCCTTCAACTTCGGGTTGTGGTATTCATTCTTTGTTGCTGAAGGTTCGATGCTTTAGTTGTCTCCTTCCCCTGTTCAGCACCAACTCCCCTTCCTCCATCGTCATTGTTGCCTGTGGTGGGTATGAGGGAGCTCATCCTCCCATCTTCATCTCTAATGATTTTGTATGGTGTATATATATATATATATGTTAGTTTTCCTTGCTTGCTTGTTCGGTTGAAACTGTATTGTTTGCAATTGAAATTTTTCTGAGCTTAAATTGATTTTTGATAGGGAATTGGATTGGAAAAGCATGATGAATTTAATGATGGATGTATGGAATTTGTTGGGTAGGAGATTGAAGCTGAACAAGTTGTATTAAATGACTTATAAGTTGTGCACACAATGCATTTGATATAAGGCTTGAGAGAGAATCATGTCCTAATAGAATAATTAACTATGGCTAAAGTATTATGAAGAAATTGTGATATAAATGATGATATTTGGGATAATAAATCATTAACTAAATCTTTGTAAAATTGTGATGGGGGTTGTCTTCCACACCAACCTTATTAACCTACTTGCTTAGAGCTTTGTAGAAATTCTTAGTGTGTATATAATTAGTGCATGCTTGCATGTGTGTACATATGTGTGCCTCTATGTATGTCCATGACCATGAATTTGTTGATTGACTTTTAGTACATACACAAGAGCTGTCCAGTTGCCTTGCTTTTGTAATGTAGACCATTGAATCTTATTCATGACACTTAGAATAATCTATGCAATGACTAAATCTGTGTATAGAAGATATTAATTTTTATATAGGAAATTGAGATCAAGGACTTACATATAAGTGCTGAAAAAGTAATATGGGGTCGATGACCATTGTTTTATTTAATTATTTATTCTGGATCTACAGCTTATTGTATTTATTTAAACCTCCAAATATGTAAAATAAAATGCTATGGTTTCAAATTATAAAGTTGTGGAACGAGTGCAAGTGTAAACAATGGTATTGTTTAGTTAAAATATGTTAGTAGATTATTACAACTTGTGCACTAGAAAGGAATGCGAAGGATATGAATTTATTTGGAATGAAAATTAAAAGATTGGGATCCAAGAGCAATGCGAGAATATATTATAATAATTAAGTGAATGAACAATTATGAGTTTTTATAAAATTTTAAAGGTACAATTATTATTATATTGGATTTTTAGGAATAAATCTTGTTGTGAGGAATGCTAAGGGGTAAATTATGGTGTTGGGACTACCTCAGATAAGTGGATAACATCTCAATAAATTTATTAACAAAATTATTTTTATTGGAATATTATTTTTCTTTTCTTTAAATAGATTTCATGTACTATTTCTAGTGTTTAATATTTTGATAGTTTTATTGCTTTAACTCTTGAAGGTTGATGAAAAAGCTTTGCTAGCTCTAATAATATTCCTTGATTTGGTGAAGGCAAATGTAGAATAGTGAAGAATTTTATATTGACGAGAATTGAGGTTTTAAAACTTTCATGCGAATTTGATGTTGAAAGTACAAAACTTTATTTTGAAAATGAAAAATTAATTTTTAGAGGACTGTACGTAGAACACTAG